TTCAAATCTCAGCTTAAATCTAAGTCAACTTTAACTCAATTTCAGTATTTTCAATATTACCAATATAATTAAACAATACCAATAAATCATCTTTTTATTCACATCAACTTTAATCTAATTATCTCATTTAATTTTAACTACTCGTCATTTCCAATCACCTTTCTTCTATATTTGTATCAAATCAACTTTAGTTATTTTATTTTAAATATTATTTTAATACAAATCCAAAACTTATTTCAACCAACTTAATAAAAATTGATAGAAAAAAATGAATCAAAACTCTAATAAATTTATATCCAAACAAGCTTTTAGGGGCATGAATTTGGTGCACAAAATCCCTTATTCCAGTTTCTCAATAAGCAATTGTGTACAAATTCAAATTCTTACATGAACAATCACAAAAACAGATTTCTCAGCCCTGATTAAACTTGAAACAAATTTATTGGCCCAGATGAAAACCGAAATTCTTCCACTGAAATGTACTATTACAAAAAAAAGATTTCTCAGATGAAACTAAAACGGATTTATTGGCCCATACGAAACTCGAAAAGGATGAGATAGATGTTCAAGTTACAGACACACATAAACAAACTCAAAAGTTCATTCAAAACATGGCATTTTTCTGGCAAGGCTATTAGTCGCCAAATTCATCCATGAATCCTTTGTGAAATTCAGTGAGACGAGTAATAATGGCCGGAATTCTATCCTCTTGAGGCAATATCGTGCACCTAAAATGCCACGTCCCAGGGACCTATCACAATAAAAAAAAAAAAAACGAACGGTAATCTAAATCGATCTTTCAATAGAGCCGGATAAACAAATTTAGGAATAAGGAGCAAGAAAAATTGCATTTTTTTATTTTAAAAATCAGTTTCATCATCTCAGGTTTATACAAGTCAATGTGCCTTGACAATTATCAAAGATAATTGGATTTCGATTTAATTAAACTAAACCTCAAAGGCTAACCTTGGCACGCCTTGCTAGGGAGGATAAGATTGCATCTTTCTCTGCAGAATAAGACTCATACGATTAATTCATCTCCCACCTGCTCATATGCTCATATTAAGATTACAACTTATTTTCTTAACAGAATTATTATTATACTTTTGAAAAGTGATTCGTGGAAGGGTGGCAAGACAATAAATATCTAACCTTTGGGGGTTCATAACAAGGCTTGCAAGAATCTGACCAGAAATGTTAGAACAAAGGTTCACTGATGCAATAACGATAATAGTTATTGCAACAGTTTTTCTTTTCACTATAAATTATACCGCTGGGCTTGCACCATCTGTCAAGAAAATATCGTTCGGATCAGAAGGGAATCCATCACGGCCTTCAATGCTAGCACAAATTGCATCGCGTAGTCCTTTGATACCCTGATTTTCATTTAATAATAGAGTTTCTAACTTTAGTAATAAAGCAACCCAGCTTCAACACATGCATGGTTTTCCATTAGAGGCTATTGCTAATGCTACCTGGCTGTGACTATAAGCACCAGTGGCTCTTCCGGGTACAAAATAAATTCTGTATAGTCTGATCCTCAAATTTCAAGAAAGAGTATGTTTTACCATTTGACTTAATATGCAACTGTTGAGTAAATATAGTTATTTTTTGGGCATGCAGGCAGTTAACATAGCTAGACTAGTATTGTACTTTCTCTTCTGGCTTTGCGCGCGTAACTCTCCCCGGCCGGATGAATCAATCAATTTCAGAATGGGGCAAGTGTTGCATCTATGGAAAGAATGGGGTATCCAGGTGCTGGTGCTGTTCAGCTTCACGCTCCAAATCATGCTCCTCATCATGGCGGAGCTCCGGCGGCGCATCGACTTCGGCGTGCTAAGGGCCTTTGTGTGGTCAGCGTACATGCTGGCCGATGCCACGGCGATCTACGTGCTGGGCCACATGTCCGCGGTGAGCCGGTCGCCGGAGCACGAGCTGGTGGCGTTCTGGGCGCCCTTCCTCCTCCTGCACCTGGGCGGGCAGGACAACATCACGGCCTGCAGCCTGGAGGACACCAAGCTCTGGCTGCGACACCTGCAGACTCTCGCCGTGCAGGTGGCTGCAGCGGCATACGTCGTCTATGCGTCTTCTTCCATCCCTGCCGGCGGCGGCGGGTCACTGCTCCGGGCAGCCACCGTCCTAATGTTTGTGGTTGGTGTTGTCAAGTACGGGGAGAGAGTGTGGGCACTCAGGTGCGCCGGTAGTAGCACCTCACAGGGCGGCAACTATTGATCTGCATTTCCTGTCGCCACCGCTGCGACGCAAGTTCGTGTGCTGACCATACCTTCCAAAAGCCGGCCGGACACGGAAGACCTTTTGCTGGATGCTCACCTCTTCCTGGACGTTCCTATGGAGCTGATGAGGAGCATCCGGAGAGATGAGGTTGTGTATTTCAGTGCTTTGGATGAGCATGCTCTGGAGGAGGTGGCTCAGATGCAGCTCTCCTTGATGCATGATGTTTTCTACACAAAGGCTGAGGTGGTGCACAGCTGGTGTGGCCTCTGCGTCCGTCTCGTTTCGCTACCGGGCACAGCCGGAGCACTAGTGCTGTTCTCCCTGCTGGGTGATCGTCGTATGGATAGCTACAGCCGGTGGGAACTGAAAAACCGAAGACTGAGTTATGCGGTACCGGACCTCGGTTGGAGGTACCGACCTGAGTTGGTACTACCAAGCTGAAGTACTGGAACTACCTACCACTTGCAACAGGCTGAAAAACTGAACACAAGTTATGCGGTACCGGGCCTTAGTCGGAGGTACCGAAGGTCATCAATACTACCGACCTGAGGGTCAGTACTACCGGCCAGCGCTGAAACCTGCACGACACTAAGTCAGAGTTGGACGGCACCGGGTCTCCACCAGAGGTATCGACCAGAAAGGTTAAGCAGGCTGTGAGTAAGTGAGTGCAGGTGTCTCTCAAACAAGTTAGTCGACAATTTGAGCACTATATCCCCAGATCCTAGTAAGCAAACCTTGTGTCCCTCTTGATAGTACGGCAGTTCCTGTAACTCAAGATTAAAGATCAAATCTAAATATCACTTAACTGAACCATCTTTTCTTCCACAAAATTGAGGGGTGCTTACTTCACCAAATGAATTCAACTCAAACTTTCATAGGACTAACACCTGCGTATTCACTTGCATAACATGGTTAGTCCCTAATTTGATTGTCATTAATTATCCAAAAACCACAACCGGGTGCTTTGTTGTTGTTGTTGTCATTAACATGGTTAGTCCCTAATTTAAGTGAAACTTGTTCTGTTAATTTTCTTATGATTTGATCTAACAACAACAACAACAACAAAGCCTTTTAATCCCAAACAAGTTGGAGTAGACTAGAGATGAAACCCAAGAGAAACGGTGGTGAGAGAGAAAAAAGAAAAAAGAAAGAAAATAAATAAATAAATAAATAAATAAATTAAAAATAAAAATAAAAATAGATAAATAAATATAAGAAATTGTTTCACACATATTGGTTCACACATAGAAAATAGACCCACATTGTTTCAGTTTGGTTTCACTACGAGTGATCACGATTCTGCTTTATTTCTTCGGCGCTCCTCCTCCGGGATCATTATTTTGCTGGGTTAGAGACATGATATCAGAGCCCACTTTGTGTCTGGGTTAGAGACATGATATCAGAGCCCGACCGACTTTGTGTCTGGGTTAGAGACATGATATCAGAGCCCACTTTGTGTCTGGGTTAGAGACATGATATCAGATTCACAAGTGAGGGGGCGTGTTAGAATATCACTTGTGAGTTGTCCCACATTGTTCACACATAGAAAATAGACCCACCTTATAAGTGTAATGGGCTACTCCTCCTTCCACCAATTGGTTTTGGGATGGAACCCCATTGGGATTTATTTGAGTTTTTCCCGCTTTGGTGCGCTTCATGTTAGTGGGCCGCACCGTTTTCCCCCAGTTTCTTACATGGTATCAGACTAGGTTTAGCCTATGTTTGGTTCACGGGAGGGGAGGGGAGGGG